GAGATGCAGTCGGTCGGTAGGTCGACGACGACAACACTCATGAATGTAAACACAAATGTAAAACTGTGATGTTCGTTCGCAACAAAGTTTTTCGGCGTCTTGCAAAACAATTCAGGATCTTATTTTTTAAGCCATACATCTAATTTCGTTGACTATAAAGAATTTTTGTGTTGTCTGACCTTTTCGAGTGGAAAAACACCTGCTTTCCGTACGGAGATTATTCAACTTTCAACCTGAATGAGATGAGCGAGTCCGAGTGTCTGTCAGAGTTTAGATTTGGAAAAAGAGACATTCTGATGTGATAGCTGTTTTCCATATAAAGTTTATATCCTCTATATTAAAGATATATGATTTCCCTCACCTAAATACGTACAAATATATTTATCACTTACGAGTTCGTTTGCTCGGCCTCCACAGCTGTTGTCATTCTTTGAAGTAAAATCAATTCATTAGTCGAATTTTCAATCAACATCGCTTGTTAGGAGAAAAAAGGAACGATACCTGGATTTACGAGCATAAGAAAATGCAACCTGACTTCCAAAATTGCTTAAAACAGTTAATTTATACCGGCAGAAGTGTGGATTGCAGGACGATGTGATTCTACTTTGTTTGGCGTCGTTGACAACACCACGATGACGAAATTTACTGGTCGCACTTGCGCAGTACACTGTAACTCACTTCCGGTTGTCGTTGACAAAATCGTCGTCGTGGTTCTTAAGTTCCCTAATTATTCCACTTGCACTTGTTGGATATGAGAAGATTATAGCCAACTCACCACTACGTGCCTCATTGGCTATCTGCCATCTCAAATCCAACACGCACTCCTGGAATAATTGTTAACCCTCATCAAGAGTAAAGGTTATGAGAATTACTCAATTGATTACCAAAGGGAGATCGCTTTGATCTTAAGCCAAATTCTCTCAACTATTCTTAAAAGAAATGGGTGAAGATCAGTCTGGAGAATTTGTATGTTGATCTTGGGGCTTAAAGGGTTAAATAGTCACCTTGCTTGTGCCTCGGCTTGCATGAATATAAATTCCCATTTCCTGGACAGAGTTCTCTGTAGCTTGGCTAGATTTTCCTGCAAATGAAAGGGAGTCAATATTAAGAGCCTCATCAGGGCACAAAGAAAGTCAGTTTTACAGCTTGCCATTCGGCAAGTTGCAGCTAGCATGTACTAGCCCAAGAGTCATTTCGATTAGCCCCAAAAAATTTTTGATGAGCAGGATAAATTACAGTTCTTCTGTATGTGAATTTGCCCATCAGGCAAATTAAGACCAGAATTCACTAGCCCGATAGCAAAATCCACTAGTCCCAGGCTATCGGGCATGACTTTCTTTGCATGCTGCTTATAACGAAAGAAAAATAACAACAATTAAAAGAAACACTACATGTAAATACAAAAAATGACAAGAACAGACCTTGTATACTAGATTAATTTACGTCTCACTCACCGCTTCATAGTCATCCAATTCTAATCTTGATTTATTTTGCATAGTTCTTTTACACAAATAGACCGCTAGAAATTAAAAAAACAGAGTTTATCAAAAAGAATGTGGTGATCGATGTGGGTAAAATATTTTAAAACATACCTTTGACTACATATACTATTGATGCTACAGGAGCCAAAATATAGGCTAAAAGCAGGGCCACAAACGGAGTTGCTTAATGTAATTTACAATAATTTTAGTGCTCTTAAGAGAACAATAATGCAGTTTGTAGTCACATGATCTGCTTATGCAACAATATTATGGAATACAACAATACCACAAATAGAAATCAAAGAGCACGCAGAAATCTGCTACAGAGCCAACTTTAAAGTGAAAGACACATACGATTTTATGGGTGCTGGAATATATATCAAAATGCAAAATTATAAGGGTGGAGTACATGGAAAAAATTGCTGAGCCACAAGGCATGTGGTCCAGCAATTTTATTCAAGCAGCACACGCACAGTACTTCTTTTACTTGTAAATATATTAATATTTGAGGTGGCCTCTGTTATAAGCCTGGGGTGGTTTCTTGAGGTCTCCTCGCCAAAACAAATCTAGCTGTAAACTTGCACTGTACTGAAGCAAGGCAAATAATAATGATGATGATGATCTCTGGTATATTTAGGGTTGTATACCATAATAATGGTTATTTTGGCAGATCTCGAGCTGCCAAGGACCTATTTCAGTTGTGAAGTGGGCTGTGAAATATCTTTAAGTACATTATAATACCTTACCATAATCTACACTCTCTGGTTCCCAATTGTTTGATAGCCAAAAGAATGGCGTCTAAAATAAGCACAGGATAGTTAGGGCAGAATGCATTATTTAAGCAAAAAAAGTTAAATCACCATTCTTGGAAAATATTTAAAAGATCTTTCTTCAGTCAAAGTTCAACACACCTGAAATCTGTAATATGAAGCATCGTCTTTAACCATTAAATGGTGATCAGTAATTGAAAAAATATATCCATAAGCGGCCAAAAGAGAAGCCAAATGAACTGCGGCACCTGTGTGAGAATTAAAGCAGTCACTTAAAATGTTGTTGATATTAATTTAGTTCATTTGTAAAATTTTCAGGGGTAGGCGTGGCAAGGATACTTTGCATTGTACCAAACACATGTACCCTTCTAAGTGACACATACCCTGTACAGTGGCAGATCTAGGGGGCCACCGCCCCCCTCCACCCCTTATTTTCAGACCAAACTGAGGGCAAAAGGGCTGAAAAAAAATTTTTTTGGAGACCAGGCCCTGCCCCTTATCTCAGGGTCTGGATGACCAGGCCCCCCCACCCCCCCTTATCTGAAGGTCTGGATCTGCTACTGCTGTATGCAGTCAAAGTTCTTCCAAGAGGTTGCAATTTAAGCCAGTTTCTCATACCTTATAACAGCTCTCCTACAAAGTATTTGAGAACATTATCAAACAATATAGGATGGTTGCAAAAACTTAGTAGAAGCAATATTATTATTATTCCTTGCTTTTACAACATGTAGTTTTCTTAGCCAGTCCTTGTTTGTGTCTCTGTTCATTTCTTTTTGTAATAAAGGTGTTCATGAACAAGGTTAATTTACTACCTCTGTCTTCAATCGAAAGATTAGCCATGACCCAGTCGACAAGCTCACTACCTGCAAAATGAAAATGAACTTTATTCAGTTGCTCCATCAAAACATGAATAGGGAGCTTAAGCAACGATGAAGGCAACATCAACAAGAACGGCCAAAAAACAACAGGTTTAGATTGACAAAACAACGACTCTACATGTGCATCGTGCTTTTTTGTAGATTTCTTTGCCATCACTGCACGGCTACGATGTGAAAATGTCATTTTCTCATGGCAGTCATGCAGTGATGGCACAGAAATGTACAAAAAAATGCGATGCACGTGCAAAGTTGTTATTTTGCTTGGTCAAGCTATTGCTTTTTTGACGTTCTCATTGTCGTTGCAGTCTTTGACTTTGATCGCGGATGACAATAATACTGCCAGATATCAGTCTAATCTACAGTTTATTGACAGCCAAATGCATTGATTTATCTTTATTAATCAACTACAGAACGTATTTCAAGGAAGTAAGCCAATACTACCATTGTCAATTCAGTCTGCTGTCCACTTAATAGAGGTTTTTAACAATAGAAATTAGCCAATTACGATTTATTTAAGTGCCTGTGTCCGCCTAGTGTAGGTGTCCACTGAATAGTGGTTTGTCATAAAGGGAAATATGAGCTGTTAATTTCGGGACCCGGCCTAGTGTCTGCTTAATAGAGGGTGTCCGCTTAATAGAGGTTTCACTGTACTTTCATTGCGCCTTTTCTCCCAGCCCAACTGACTGTCCCTGGGTGTTTGAGGATGGCAGGGTTCATACAAAACAATGCAACCAGTTTTTAAGGACTTTTCAAGGACCCCATTTGATTTTCAAGGACCACCTACACAAATGCAATTTCACAGATGGTACAAAAATGCACATTCCCTAGTCCATATGGACTTTAAGGTGACACGATCCAGTTATTTTGTGAGGGTACCATCCTACTTTGAAGCTCTCTGGTATCCCCACCTTTCCTTTGATAGTAAGTCAAACATATAGCATGGATAACATGTAGATCAATCTACAATATAGCATAAAATTTTTGCCGTTCTGAGTAAATGTCATGTGGTTGTAGTGCCAGGCCTCTTTGGAGTCTGAGTCGAAATTCTACTGTTGCTGGCATTTTTTTGTGAAAATCTTTCGGCTACGTATAGTGCACATTAGTGCCTTGGGTTGAACAGAGTTTCACCAAAATTGCAAAGACCTAATGCGAGAAATTCAGCGGTTTGCAAATTTAGGTCATAATTTATGTGAAAATGATAAGCAAACTTTACTTGATTAGATCTAATAAACAGTGAGATTTATCTCTTTATTCTGGAGATCTTTATTCTCTGTTTTCACTCACGTGAGGAAGCAGAAATAAAAATGGAAACCTTTTAATACAGAAAGTCTAGAATCTGGGAAATGAAAGAAGATAAATATACAAAAAGCCTTGCCAAGAATTAAGTCTATGCAATAGTTCATATGCGAGATATTCGGAAAAACGTTTTACCCAAATTTGTAAAGCTTTGTATGGAGACGCCATGTTTGTGTCCCTTTCAGGGGCACAAATATAGCCGCCGGAAACCAACAGAAACATCTGTTTTTGAGTTTTGCTACTTATGTGTGAATTCTTCGCTTGAGGAACTTATAAAGATTAAAGTTATATTCATTCTAATACAAGGAATGTTTAGATAGCAAAATGTCCAAAAATCCGTAATGTTTTTAACCCACAATGACGAGTCATGCAAAAGCGTGGAAATTCAGGCGTCCTGTATCGCAAAACAAAGGAGCCTTTAGAACCGAAAATTTGTTTGTATGAAGGTTTTAAGGTGCTCTAATATCACACGAAAGTAGAAACTCAGAAGAAGCTGTAGTTTCTTAGTTTGAATTATGGTGACGTCATGTGAAAACCGAGAATAACGTTAGGTCCTTGCAAGTCAGCAAAAAGCTTTAGGGCCTTTTAATTGCGCGAGAAGAAGACAATGAATCATTGTTCCAAAAACGGTCCTAAAACAGAAAAGCACAAATTATTACATTGCTTTATTTTAATATTTTGTGCCTGTTTCCAGGGCTCAAAGCCAACTTGAATTCCTGATCGTACCTGCTCAGGGCATTGCTTGCTTGTCTTAGTTCATGATTTGACTTGCCTGGACCCTGGCCCATTTGGGGAAAGTAAGCTTAAAAATTTACTTGCCCAGGAAGGAAATCTACTCGTCCCAGACAATTAGGCGGGGACCGTTTTTCCAGTCCTGGATCTCAGTCAGTACAAAAAACCAGAAAACAAGCAAATGCTTTTTTTAAAATCTTCTGACTGCCTTTCAATCTGCTTGTCCAAAGGAAATGAGAGCTTGGGATCTAATATATAAGTCGATGAAACGAGTGCATCAGTTTTTATATTTCAATTTTTTCTCACAAAATATTAATCTTTTACCGTCCCCAATGATCTTATGAGAAAATTGGAAAAAATTAGAAGGAATGCTATTATGGACAAAGCAAAATAATAATGATCACAATTATTGCAATTATTAGTGATGGGTGAATAATAATAATAATAATAATAATAAGATGATGATGACGATGATGAGGATGATGATAACAATGATGATGATAATGATAATGATGATGATGATTATGTTCACTGCACATGATGCTTTATACCTTTCTCTTTCTTTTTGGAGATGTATCAGCTGCTTTGCAGGCCTTTTTAATATCAATTTCAGTTACAGACACACAACCTGGCTAAAAGAAAACAAAAATAGAACAACTGTGAATATATAGGGAGATGAAGTTCTAAAACTATAATCACCCAGGGGTATCATCAACATGAAGACTCAGTTGAAGCAAAAAGAAATTTCAAATTTGAAATTAGGAAGGTAAAATAAAAAAGACTGACTTTCTTGGCTTTGCTATACTTCCTTGGGTTAGCATGCGAGTCAAAATAGCCGGTAGAATTGTGTGAAAATAAATTGGTGAGTTATAATGATGAAAAAAATTGTATCATGGTCCTTGTGGTGCAGGCAATCTGTATCATAACTGGGAGAAATGTCTCATTTCAGCCCTGGGGACTGCTTACTAGTGGTACATGCATAAGCAGAGCCCCATGGCTAAGAAAATTTGGTTATCTATCCATCTGAGAAATTTTGGTGGTCACCATATCTTCCTCCGACCATCTGTCTGAACCACAGGGTAACCAATATGAAATCTCATACTTTCTAGCTAGTATGGAAACCCTACCGACAACCTGATATTGCACATCCCTATTGTGGTCAATTTACAGCTGTAAAAACAGGGTATCCCCTGAACAGTATCATATGACCATATTGCTGGCTTAGGTGTTGACCCATCGAGGTTATATGTTTCTTTAAAGTTATCCACTAACAAGTTTATTAATGGGAGCTTTGCTTTTAGTCTTGGGTTAACCTATATATTATTGAAGACTTTATAGAACATGATTTACATTTTCGTGGCAATCATTTTTTATGTAATGTAATCAAGTGGAGCTGGTACATGTAATAAGATATCTTACTGGTGGTCTATGGACATTCCAAAATGCTCGTTCTTGACTGTCTAGTATTTGTCTCTCCATTTTGTCTCTCTTCTTATCAACTCTGTCAGATAACAAACATATTAACCCTTTAAGTCCCGATAGTGACCAAGATCAATTTTCTCCTAACAATATCCATATGTTACCAAGAGAAATGGTTATGAGAGTTGATAATATGATCACCTAAGAGAAAATGCTTTGATCTTCTACCAAATTCTCTCAACTTATTCCTTAAGGAAATGTTTAAAGACCAGTTTGGAGAATTTGTATGTGGATGTTGGGGCTTAAAGGGTTAATGTTTTCAGCAATTTTTTTTACAATGCAATTAACAGTCTAACCTCCAATAAGGGACCACCCAAAATGACAAGATTTAGTGGTTACTTTCAGGAACTTGTCATTTATGAGAGGTTGCAAAAGCTAAAAGTAACTGACACTTTCAGTAAGGTAATACGCATACGTAAATGTACATTACTGTGCTTTGACTGAAAACCGATTTGTTGTATTTTGGACACTAAGGTGGTCACTTGAGCTGGTTGAACTGATTTCCTGTGTTCATACTTTGAATAGCGGAACGTTCGTGGATTTAATGGTATTATTAAAAAGTGAATCATTGGATAATATGCAATTCTAGAGTGCTGATTAGTTTAGCCATCATGGTATATGAGTCATTATACCTTGCTCTCCAAAGGATCTGCTTAAAATTAAAAACAAGCTGAAAATCGGATGTTTTTACACATAGGTCCGGAAGAATTCTCGATATTTTGTGGGCGTTTATAATAAAACAATAGGGAACTTAAGAACCACGACCAAGTTCCAAGGACGACGTCTGTTGACTGGGAAAAGACTGGAACGGGAACGTCAGTTTTGACGGGAAAAAGGAAACTTGAGATGCAGTCGGTCGGTAGGTCGACGACGACGACACTCATGAATGTAAACACAAATGTAAAACTGTGATGTTCGTTCGCAACAAAGTTTTTCGGCGTCTTGCAAAACAATTCAGGATCTTATTTTTTAAGCCATACATCTAATTTCGTTGACTATAAAGAATTTTTGTGTTGTCTGACCTTTTCGAGTGGAAAAACACCTGCTTTCCGTACGGAGATTATTCAACTTTCAACCTGAATGAGATGAGCGAGTCCGAGTGTCTGTCAGAGTTTAGATTTGGAAAAAGAGACATTCTGATGTGATAGCTGTTTTCCATATAAAGTTTATTTCCTCTATATTAAAGATATATGATTTCCCTTACCTAAATACGTACAAATATATTTATCACTTACGAGTTCGTTTGCTCGGCCTCCACAGCTGTTGTCATTCTTTGAAGTAAAATCAATTCATTAGTCGAATTTTCAATCAACATCGCTTGTTAGGAGAAAAAAGGAACGATACCTGGATTTACGAGCATAAGAAAATGCAATTTGACTTCCAAAATTGCTTAAAACAGTTAATTTATACCGGCAGAAGTGTGGATTGCAGGACGATGTGATTCTACTTTGTTTGGCGTCGTTGACAACACCACGATGACGAAATTTACTGGTCGCACTTGCGCAGTACACTGTAACTCACTTCCGGTCGTCGTTGACAAAATCGTCGTCGTGGTTCTTAAGTTCCCTAATTATTCCACTTGCACTTGTTGGATATGAGAAGATTATAGCCAACTCACCACTACGTGCCTCATTGGCTATCTGCCATCTCAAATCCAACACACACTCCTGGAATAATTGTTAACCCTCATCAAGAGTAAAGGTTATGAGAATTACTCAATTGATTACCAAAGGGAGATCGCTTTGATCTTAAGCCAAATTCTCTCAACTATTCTTAAAAGAAATGGGTGAAGATCAGTCTGGAGAATTTGTATGTTGATCTTGGGGCTTAAAGGGTTAAATAGTCACCTTGCTTGTGCCTCGGCTTGCATGAATATAAATTCCCATTTCCTGGACAGTGTTCTCTGTAGCTTGGCTAGATTTTCCTGCAAATGAAAGGAAGTCAATCATTTAGCCTCACCAGGGTGCAAAGTCAGTTTTACAGCTTGCCATTCAGCAAGTTGCAGCTAGCATGTACTAGCCCAAGAGTCATATTGATTAGCCCCAAAAAATTTTTGATGAGCAGGATTGATTACAGTTCTTCTGTATGTGAATTTCCCCAAAAATTTATTTGCCCATCATGCAAATTAAGACCAGAAGTCACTAGCCCGATAGCAAAATCCACTAGTCCCAGGCTATCCGACACGACTTTCTTTGCTTGCTGCTTATAAGGAAAGAAAAATAACAACAATTTAAAAAAAAACACTACATGTAAATACAAAAAATGACAAGAACAGAACTTGTACACTAGATTAATTTACGTCTCACTCACCGCTTCATAGTCATCCAATTCTAATCTTGATTTATTCTGCATAGTTCTTTTACACAAATAGACCGCTAGAAATTCAAAAACAGAGTTTATCAAAAAGAATGATTGTGGTGATCAATGTGGGTAAAATATTTTAAAACATACCTTTGACTACATGTACTATTGATGCTACAGGAGCCAAAATATAGGCTAAAAGCAGGGCCACTTAAAATCATTTATTAAAAGCAGGGCCACTTAAAATCATTTATTAATCTGCTGCTGTGACCTCATTTCCTCACTGTACTGGCTTATTTATGACAAGTATATCAAATAGGCAGATTGGCAACCAAGTTTGATGACACAATTAAGTTAAACAAACTGAGTTGTCTAGTGTAATTTACAATAATAGTGCTCTTCAGAGAACAATATAGACTATGCAGCTTGTAGTCACATGATTTGCTTATGCAACAATTATGGAATACAACAATACCACAAATAGAAATCAAAGAGCACGCACAAATCTGCTACAGAGCCAACTTTAAAGTGAAAGACACATACGATTATAAGGGTGGAGTATATGGAAAAAATTGCTGAGCCACAAGGCATGTGGTCCAGCAATTTTTTTCAAGCAGCACACGCACAGTACTTCTTTTACTTGTAAATATATTAATATTTGAGGTGGCCTCTGTTATAAGCCTGGGGTGGTTTCTTGAGGTCTCTTTGCCAAAACAAATCTAGCAGTAAACTTGCACTGTACTGAAGCAAGGCAAATAATAATGATGATGATGATCTCTGGTATATTTAGGGTTGTATACCATAATAATGGTTATTTTGGCAGATCTCGAGCTGCCAAGGACCTATTTCAGTTGTGAAGTGGGCTGTGAAATATCTTTAAGTACATTATAATACCTTACCATAATCTACACTCTCTGGTTCCCAATTGTTTGATAGCCAAAAGAATGGCGTCTAAAATAAGCACAGGATAGTTAGGGCAGAATGCACTATTTAAGCAAAAAAAGTTAAATCACTATTCTTGGAAAATATTTAAAAGATCTTTCATCAGTCAAAGTTCAACACACCTGAAATCTGTAATATGAAGCATCGTCTTTGACCATTAAATGGTGATCAGTAATTGAAAAAATATATCCATAAGCCGCCAGAAGGGAAGCTAAATGAACTGCGGCACCTGTGTGAGAATTAAAGCAGTCACTTAAAATGTTGTTGATATTAATTTAGTTCCTTTGTAAAATTTTCAGGGGTAGGCGTGGCAAGGGTACTTTGCATTGTACCACACACATGTACCCTTCTAAGTGACGCATACCCTGTACAGTAGCAGATCTAGGGGAGGGGCCCAGGCTACCCCCCCCCTCTTATTTTTAGACAAAACTGGAGACCAGGCCCCCTTTATCTGAAGGTCTAGATCCGCTACTGAGCATGCGGTCAAAGTTCTTCCAAGAGGTTGCAATTCAAGCCAGTTCCTCATAACCAAGAATGGCTCTCCCACAAAGTATTTGAGAACACTATGAAACACTATAGGATGGTTGCAAAAACTTAGTAGAAGCAATATAATTATTATTCCTTGCTTTTACAACATGTAGTTGACTTAGCCAGTCCTTATTTGTGTCTCTGTTCATTTCTTTTTGTAATAAAGGTGTTCATGAACAAGGTTAATTTACTACCTCTGTCTTCAATCGAAAGATTAGCCATGACCCAGTCAACAAGCTCACTACCTGCAAAATGAAAATGAACTTTATTCAGTTGCTCCATCAAAACATGAATAGGGAGCTTAAGCAACGATGAAGGCAACATCAACAAGAACGGCCAAAAAACAACAGGTTTAGATTGACAAAACAACAACTCTACATGTGCATCGTGCTTTTTTGTAGATTTCTTTGCCATAACTGCACGGCTACGACGTGAAAATGTCATTTTCTCATGGCAGTCATGCAGTGATGGCACAGAAATGTACAAAAAAATGTGATGCACGTGCAAAGTTGTTATTTTGCTTGGTCAAGCTATTGCTTTTTTGACGTTCTCATTGTCGTTGCAGTCTTTGACTTTGATCGCGGATGACAATAATACTGCCAGATATCAGTCTAATCTACAGTTTATTGACAGCCAAATGCATTGATTTATCTTTATTAATCAACTACAGAACGTATTTCAAGGAAGCAAGCCAATACTACCATTGTCAATTCAGTCCGCTGTCCACTTAATAGAGGTTTTTAACAATAGAAATTAGCCAATTACGATTTATTTAAGTGCCCGTGTCCGCCTAGTGTAGGTGTCCACTGAATAGGGGTTCGTCATAAAGGGAAATATGAGCTGTTAATTTCGGGACCCGGCCTAGTGTCTGCTTAATAGAGGGTGTCCGCTTAATAGAGGTTTCACTGTACTTTCATTGCGCCTTTTCTCCCAGCCCAACTGACTGTTCCTGGGTCTTCGAGGATGGCAGGGTTCATACAAAACAATGCAACCAGTTTTTAAGGACTTTTCAAGGACCACATTTGATTTTCAAGGACCACCTACACAAATGCAATTTCACAGATGGTACAAAAATGCACATTCCCTAGTCCATATGGACTTTAAGGTGACACGATCCAGTTATTTTGTGAGGGTACCATCCTACTTTGAAGCTCTCTGGTATCCCCACCTTTCCTTTGATAGTAAGTCAAACATATAGCATGGATAACATGTAGATCAATCTACAATATAGCATAAAATTTTTGCCGTTCTGAGTAAATGTCATGTGGTTGTAGTGCCAGGCCTCTTTGGAGTCTGAGTCGAAATTCTACTGTTGCTGGCATTTTTTTGTGAAAATCTTTCGGCTACGTATAGTGCACATTAGTGCCTTGGGTTGAACAGAGTTTCACCAAAATTGCAAAGACCTAATGCGAGAAATTCAGCGGTTTGCAAATTTAGGTCATAATTTATGTGAAAATGATAAGCAAACTTTACTTGATTAGATCTAATAAACAGTGAGATTTATCTCTTTATTCTGGAGATCTTTATTCTCTGTTTTCACTCACGTGAGGAAGCAGAAATAAAAATGGAAACCTTTTAATACAGAAAGTCTAGAATCTGGGAAATGAAAGAAGATAAATATACAAAAAGCCTTGCCAAGAATTACTTAAGTCTATGCAACAGTTCATATGCGAGATATTCGGAAAAACGTTTTACCCAAATTTGTAAAGCTTTGTATGGAGACGCCATGTTTGTGTCCCTTTCAGGGGCACAAATATAGCCGCCGGAAACCAACAGAAACATCTGTTTTTGAGATTTGCTACTTATGTGTGAATTCTTCGCTTGAGGAACTTATAAAGATTAAAGTTATATTCATTCTAATACAAGGAATGTTTAGATAGCAAAATGTCCAAAAATCCGTAATGTTTTTAACCCACAATGACGAGTCATGCAAAAGCGTGGAAATTCAGGCGTCCTGTATCGCAAAACAAAGGAGCCTTTAGAACCGAAAATTTGTTTGTATGAAGGTTTTAAGGTGCTCTAATATCACACGAAAGTAGAAACTCAGAAGAAGCTGTAGTTTCTTAGTTTGAATTATGGTGACGTCATGTGAAAACCGAGAATAACGTTAGGTCCTTGCAAGTCAGCAAAAAGCTTTAGGGCCTTTTAATTGCGCGCGATGTAAACATATAGAAATTATAGTTTTAGTTATTTGTTTGTCAGCGTTTAAGAGTCCTTCTCATGACAAAACCATTTTCTGAAAACTTCGTAGTTTTTTTTTCCTTCAAATTTTTTCAGGGTCACAATTAATATTATTAACTAGCTACCTGGATTCTGAATTTCATGGTCATTGAAAAACTGTGACATTAAATTCTATAAGCCCAAACTTGATTAAACACTGTGAAGATTTTTATTATACATTGTTTGGAAGAAAATAACGACAAACACACCGTCGCAAGGAACCTAAATTGATGTGGTTATTGGAAATCATGCATTGCGTGCGCAACCTACAGATTAGTCAGTTATTTGCTAGCAGATAACCGACTACTCTGTAGGTTGACCTGATTTCCAAAATTAGCTGTAGGCTGTTAGCCAGTGAGAAGACAGATAGTGAGTACAATGTATAATAATTATGCGTATTGCTTCCTGATCAAACGTGTTTGATATCTTCTTCTAATAGAGCATTTTGTGTATGGGTAAAGGAACTTAAAGTAACGACTTCAGTACAGAATTGATCTAAAACAGCAATATCCTCGCCCCTTTATCCCTTTAGGTCACAAGAGCGACCAACATCAATTTCCTCCTAACAACATCAGCGGATGAACAAGAGTAAAGGTTATGAGAATTACTAAATTGATTATCAAAGGGAGAATGCTTTGATCGTAAACTAAATTCTCTCAACTATTCTTGAAAGAAATGAATGGAGATCAGTCTGGAGAATTTGTATGTGGATCTCGGGGCTTAAAGGGTTATGCTTTCCACTTTAATTTATTTTTACTATACTTGAGGAAGACAGCTGTAATGTAAAACTCACCTAAGAAAACAGACCATGCGCACATGTAGGAATTACAAGAAGGATGCATTCAGTTAGATCCCTAGACATGCATTATTCCAAAACAGCTCCTAAGCTCTTATATACAAAGGAACCTCAGTCTCCACAATGACCACCTTGGGCACAAGAAAGTGGTTGTTGTAGAGAGGTTTAAACAAGAGTCAATGTATGAAATGTCCACCAAAAAAGTAGCTGTTGTAGAAAGGAGGCCGTTGTGGAGAGGTGCAGGCCATAAGAGGTTTGACAGTAATATATCAACATACAGATTTCAAATGCTCTTCTGTTCCACTCTAACCCATGAAAATTACATCTCCAATTTACAAAATATTCATTATTTTGTTTAACTACTAGTATTTTAAAACTGCCGTTCACCTGTAAAAACACTAGGAATTCTGGACATGAAACTCTTTACAGTTCTAATGGGCACTCCAGTCTTCTCATCCTGCATTTGATGGATAAGTTTCTCCATCTGTGAACAAAGAAAAGACTTCACATCAGACTCTGTTAGTAGTGTATTAACTCTTAAGACTGCAGCGCTTTAATTCCACAACAACAACAACAAAAAAAAACACATTAAAGAGATGAGAAACACATTAAAAACCTTTAATGCCTAGAATTAGCGCTGTTATGAAGACAACTTGCCATTACCCGGCTTTAAATATTTGATCAACTTTAATTCTAAAATTTTCACAACTGGAAGGTCACTGAGAGGTTTGCACATTTAAGGCATAAAATCAAAGCCCCTCCAACACAAGACTTGATTTACCACCTCTTCAACTTTTGACGCTGGTTTTTCAAGTAACTATGAAGGTAATATCTGAAAATGATCAGTGGTCTAAGAGGATCTATGCAATTTAAGCTATAGTTAAAGGGTATGCTATGTACAGTATTGTACAAATACCAAATAAGGCAAAGAAAACATAATTATCATTAATTATGTGGTTTTATGGTTATGTTTCTCATTTGCAAAAGTTTGGTTTTCCCTTGGGCGTTGTCGATCCCTCCATATTAGTGCAGCCCCAGTCAAAATGACTTGGCAGCGCACCATTTTGCCCCCCTCCACCCTCCTCACTGGGGGTTTAATAATTAATTATTTTATTACCATGTGGTTCAGCACATGTACAACTGGGAGATGCAAAACAATTATAATGAACTTTTG